CTGTGCATGGTAGTCAGTATGAACACCTCCTTTTTGTCTCTGTATTTCAGAGCCAGCAGTTCGTCCTGGCATAGAGCAGCCGTTTCCCCCTTTTTAATTTTTTTCTCTGCTAGAGCCTTGGGGAAGCCAGTGCGTGTCTTGCGGATAGTGCCGCAGGCCACAGTCTCAAAACAATATAGCATTTTTTGGAGGGGTATGCTATTGTAGTAATTATCAAGGTAGAGGTGGTACCCCTTGTTCAGTAGTGGGTTAATTAGATCCCAAACTATTTTTCCGCTAGTCCCAACTACATCAGGGCAACCTGGGGGATCCCGGTGGCTATCTTTACCTTCATATATTCTGAAGGTATAAACATACCCACTGCTACTTTCACATAACTTGTATAGCTTGATGCCATACCGGGATCTTTTGGCTGGGATGTATTGCTTAAACCCCAGTCTACCCTTGTATTTCATTAGGGACTCGTCAATACATATATTATTTTGGGGAGTATAAATTATGCCAAATTCTTTATTAAAATGGTTAATTAGGGGGCGGATTTTATAGAGTTTGTCATACTGCGGATGATCTTTGGGGTGGCACATCGAATTATCATTGAAGTGCCGAAAAACGCAGTACTGTTTCGTATCTGGGCCTACTCATGGTCTGAGAGAAAATGGGAGTATTGCATACTGGGTTTTTGGACCAGTACATTCGGATGCTGGGCTTTTTTTATAATTCCCATTAGCATGGTTAGTGCCCAGAACTGTTTTAACTCTGGCACACTGGTGGAGTACCAGCTCCCTTTTGTGGCAAGGTGACTTGTTGCATTTTGTGCCAGATACTGCGCTGCATAAATATTTGTTTGTGTAGCTATCTGCCCTAAAAAATCATCCCCAAGGAACAGCTCCATAAAATCCTGGGAGTTATAGCTGGTCACATCTCCCTGAATACCAGGAGTCGCAGTGAACAGAGGGATGTCGGGGACAAAATTGTTAGGGGGCACCCAGATATCAGCGCCAGGGGTATCGTCACTTTCTTCATCTGTGTCTGGCACATAGTCACCCTCTGCACTCTCTGAGGCAGTGTCGGTTGCCTCTGAGTCGGCTGCTAATATAGTATATGCCTCCTCGGCACTAAACTTTCTAAGCATGGTGAAAGCTTAAAATTAACTTTAACTAAATAACGTATTTTTTTGTTTTGTTTTTTTAACTTTTTTTATACTTTTTTTTGTTTTCTGAATTTTTTTAATACTTTTTAAAAATTTTTTTTAAAACTCTTAAAAACTTTCTAAAACTTCTAAAAACTTTTTTAAAAATGAACCCCTGTGGGTAAAAACAGGAATCAGATCACCGTGCTTACACCTAGCGAAGCAGAAATGCTTTGACTTAAAATAAACTACTTTTTTTCTCTTTTTTCCTTTTTTCACTTTTTTTTATACTTTTATAAACTTTTAATAACTTTTATAAACTTTTAATAACTTTCTAAAACTTTTCAGCTTCCTAGCTACACTAATGCTAGATTCCCCAATTCCCCCTAGCTTCAATCCACCCC